GTTCTTACTTTCTTTCATTTATTTGTTCATTCGTTCGTTCGTTAGTTCGCTCATTCATTCATTCATTTATCCCGTCGTGCGACCAGCCAACCAACCAACCAACCAACCAACCAATCAACCATCCAACAACCAACCAACCATCCATCCAACCAACCATCCAACCAACCAACTAACCAACCAACCATCCATCCAACCAACCAACCAACTAAACCAACCAACCTACCAACCATCCATCCATCCAACCAACCAACTAAACCAACCAGTCATCCATCCAACCAACCAACCAACAAACCAACCAAATTATAAGAGTTGAACAAATCAACCATGTGTTGTAACTCAATCAATCGACCGACCATCCAACCATTCAACCAGTCTATCAATCAGTCAACTAACCAATCAGCCAAAAACCAACCAATCAATCAGCCAACAATCAACCAATCAACAATCAGCCAACAATCAACCAGCCAGCGATCGGCACACTGACCGTCCAATAGAAATCAAAGGGGTTGAACATATCAGCCATGTGTTGCAGCTCAAGCAGAAGTTTCACATTGCAATGCTCTAGTGACTCCAAACATTCGATTATGCTATTCAGCGGTTGATTGGTTGATTGCATGATTGATTGATTGACTGAATGATTCAGTGATTCATTCATTCATTCATTCATTCATTCAATCAATCATTCATTCAATCATTCATTCATTCATTCATTTATTCATTCATTCATTCATTCATTCAATCATTCATTCAATCATTCATTCATTCATTTATTCATTCATTCATTCATTCATTCATTCATTCATAGAAAGACTGACTGACTGATTGATTGATCATGGACGATAACGATTTAAGACAGTCAGACATGTTTTGAAATCATTTTTGCCAATCACGAATTTGATTTTCATTAAATGGAAACTTCATAAAAATAGGATAGCCGGTGATTGAGAGTTAGACGGATGAATGAATAGACAGACAGACGGACGAATGGATAGACAGACAGATAGACAGACAAACATACAGACAGATTGACAGACAGATTGATAGACAGACAAACAGAAAGACAGACAGACAGACAGAAAGACAAATTGATTGATTCGGCTGATTAATTGAATTATTTAGTTAGCAAAAGCCGATCACAACAATGTTCAAGACTTGCCAAAAATTAAACTAATACAAATTATGATTATTATTATAATAATAATTATTATTATTATTACTATTATTATAACCAGAAAAAAATAAAAATAATAATTATACTCGTCTAGATCGTAAAGTGTGATGCATGCCATATCTCCATTGTTATTTTTCCTTAGCCTAGGCACATCCCTAATTAATAAGTAAGTCATCATCGTCATTATTACTGTTACGTCATCATTATCATCATCGTCATCATCATCACTATCATCATCATAATCATCACTATCATCATCATCATCCCTATCATCATCATCATCATCATCAGTAGCACGATCGTCCTCATCACCTCATCAGGATATGGAACAGGTATGGATGCGTGTGTAAGTGTATTGAGAGCTGCCTCATTGTCTTTGTCAAAATCTGCATAATAATAATAATAATTAACAATAATATTAATAATAATTATAATGATAATAATAATAATAATAACAATAATAATAATAATGTATTGTAATATTAATTATCATTATAATTTTATTAAAAAAAACCATAGTAACACAAAAAGCATGCAAAAAACAACAAAAAGCTAAACATGACATGCAACCCAAAAACAACAACTGCAACAACAACAGCAACGACAACAGCAGCCGCAACAGTAACAACAACTGCAACAACAACAACAACAACAGTAACAACAATTGCAACAACAACAGTAAGAACAAAAGCCGCAACAGTAACAACAACTGCAACAACAACAACAACAACAGCAACAACAACAACAACAACTGCAACAACAACAACTGCAACAACAACAACAAGAACCACGATAGGAAAAGCGTCGACGTCATCATCCCATAGAAATGATGAGACGTCACAACTGGCCATGTAGCCCGTATCATTCAGGTTGATCAGTGTGGCTTCATATTCATCCTTGGCCAGCTTGTGGCTTTCAAAATGATTAAATATTAATTAATTACAATAATTTTTAATAATAATTATAATTATTATTATAATTATAGTTATAATTATTATTATAAAATATTATAAAATTAAAGGCAATAACGTATCTTACTGCTTGATTATATTATTCTTAGGTACTTTAATTACTATCTCTTCTGCCATTGGTCGCCCTGCTTTATTACGTGACCTGACGTCACCAGAACCGACTTTACCGTCACTATCATCATCATCGCCATCATCATTACTAGTATTAGTATAGTTATCATCGTCGTCGTCATCATCATCAGTACTGACGTCATCAAATATGTTCATTTTGGCTCTCAACTGTTCTCTTGTAAGATCGTCCTGTTAAAATTATTCATTCGTTCATTCGTTTATTCATTCATTCATTCATTCATTCATTCAATTATTTAGCCCTTTGTTGACTCGTTACATCATTCTTTCATTCGTTCACTAGTATATTCATTCATTCATCCATCCTGTCATTAATTCATTTAATTAGTGGCTCACTTATTCATTCACTCACTCATCCATTTATTCACTCATTCGTTCAATCAATCAATCACTCATTTATTTATTTATTTATTAATCCATCCATCTTTCCACTAACTCACTTTGTGTACGGCATAACCCTTTGCTATTAGAACGTCATTGAAGAAATTAAATGCTATCAAATCGTTGTTGCTGTTAATCTTGTTGTCAGTGTTGTTGTTGTAATTGTTGTTGTTGTTGTTGATGTAATTGTTGTTGTTGTCATCATCGAGATTGTAAGGAGCATACAAAAGCTTAAGTAAATAGTTACCCTGGTGCAGTGAAAAAAAACATGGAGTGCTACGTTGATGCTACAATGCTATAAGACAGTCAAAACATTAACAACAACAACAACAGCAGCATCATCATCATCATCAACAACAAGAAACAACAACAACGCCATTAATGACACCATGAAACGAAATGATATCAATATTATTCATTCAAGTACGTCAATGATTCTACCCAGCTAGCTTCTCACATAACCGCAGCTAAACAATGACATCACAGAATTAAACGAACCAACAACAACAACGACAACAACATCCTCATCAACAACATCATCATCATCAACAACAACAACAACATCATCAACAACAACATCATCATCATCATCATCATAATCAACAACAACAACAACGACAACAACAACAAGACCAACGTCATCATCAAATCCCAAGATGACGGTGTTGAGGGTTCTTTCAGAAACGTAATTAAAAATGTAATCAAATGCCTCTGCAGACCATCTCTGAAAGGGTATGGAAAATAAAGCGTACATGAATATATATAAACACACACGCACGCACGCACATATACATACAAGCATACATACAAACATATACGCACATACAAAACATACATACAAACATACATACAAACATACATACAAACATACATACAAACACACATACAAACGTACATACAAACGTACAAACCCCATTTTTGGCAGGCTTCGTTTGATAGAACCTTCCTTTCAATCCTTGCATCTCCATTGTAAAGAAGCATTTTCTATATTATTATTATTATCATTAATATTATTATTATAATTAATATTATTATTTATTTATTATTATAAATATTATTCTCTTTCATCCATTCTTTCAACCCCTCTTTGACTCATTTCTATCTTTTTGTATTTCTTCATTTCTGTTTTCGACGGTTTTCATTCTGTATCACTTCTTTTTATCCCTCTCTCTCTCTTACACTATCTCTCTCTCTTTCACTCTCTCTCTCTCTCTCTCTCTTCCTTTCTTTCTCTCTCTCCCACTCTCTCCCTTTCTGTCTCCCTCTCCCTTTCACTATCAAATAAAAAACAAACCTGACCTTAAAAATCGTAATTCTTGTTTGGGCACAGTACCTCGAGTTCCAAAGTCAACATAGTGGATCTTGATTGGTCGGTTTAAATTGGAAATTATGAATTCGTGTAAATTTTGATTTGATTGGTCAGTTCAAAATAATTTAAAGTTATTCTAAGTTATGCGAAATTGGGTCGGTTGAAATTTGAAATTATGGTTTGTGTAAAATTTGATTGGTTGCTTCTGTTATGTGAGTGGAGTTTGAACTATAAATTATTAATTTTTAGCAGGTGGGCCTAAAAAAGAGAAAGAACATCTATGTAAAAATTTTGATTGGTCGGTTTGGTTTGGTGAGAGGGGCAAGTCCACCCAGCCATCAACCAGCAGACCAGCCAGCAGACCAGCCGGCAGACCAGCCAACCACCGACCAGCCAACCGACCTGGACACTGTCATAGTGGACGTGTAGAACGACGCATCTGTGCCAGACTCCATCAAACAGCGACACGCACACCAGTCCAACTTTTATGTACGATGTCGGGACCCTGTAAAGGCTTCCGACTTTCGATTCGTAGAATGTCCTAAGGAAAGTTTTGATAAGTTCAATTTTAATTTGAAACAAGCATTGAATTTTGTTTGATTGGTCGCTGGAGTTTAAATTTGAAAGTAATACTGATGCGGACGTTCATAGACAAGAACAAAAAGACAACGCCGTCAAACATGCAAACATACAAACAAACAAACAAACAAATAAACAAACAAGCAAACAAACAAACAAAGAATTACTAAACTGTAAATCATCCATAATTTTATCGATGTTACTCGATTGTTCGCTCAGCTGAAAGTAGAAACACTCATCCTCCCTGTTGACCTCGCACACCATTATTTCATACATCTTTGGGTACTTCAATAAGTGTTCTTTGTACTTTGTCGTAGTTTTGTTATTGATATTATTATTATAATAATTATTATTATTGTCGTTGATGACGTCACTATTATCATCATTTACGTCATCATCATCCTTGCTGCCGTTGATGATGACGTCACCGCTCTTATTGATGACGTCAATGCCGTTGTTGTTGTTGCTGATGATGATGTTATCTACCACGGAGTCATTCAGTATGTATTCAGTCTGTTGTGAATGTGGATAGTTCTTAACAGTAGAATGATTACAATGTTACAATGAATGATAGTGAGTATAGAGAGAGAGAGAGAAAGAGAGAGAGAGAGAGACAGAGAGAGAGAGAGACAGAGAGAGAGACAGAGAGAGAGAGAGAAAGACAAAGAGAAACAGAGAGACAGAGAGAGAGAGAGAGACAGAGAGGGAGAGAGAGAGATAGACAGAGAGAGAGAGGGAGACAGAGAGAGAGAGACAGAGAGAGAGAGGGAGACAGAGAGAGAGAGACAGAGAGAGAGAGAGAGACAGAGAGAGACAGAGAGAGACAGAGAGAAAGAGAGAGAGAGAGAGAGAGAGACAGAGAGAGAGAGAGAGACAGAGAGACAGAGAGACAGAGAGAAAGAGAGAGACAGAGAGAAAGAGAGAGACAGAGAGAGAGAGGGAGACAGAGAGAGAGACAGAGAGAAAGAGAGAGACAGAGAGAAAGAGAGAGACAGAGAGAAAGAGAGAGACAGAGAAAGAGAGACAGACAGAGAGAGACAGAGAGAGAGAGAGAGAGAGAGAGAGGGGGGGAGAGAGAAACAATGAAGAAAAAAATAATTGAAAAACGGAAATGAAAAAATAGAACAAAACAAAAAGAATAAAAGAAAGAGTGGGATGGATGTTTAACAATGACAAATAATGAGAGAGAGAGAGAAAAAAAAGAGAGAAAGAAAGAGAGAGAGAAAGTAAGAGTAGGAGAGAGAGAGAGATGAACTTACATTGTAAAGTATATTTGTCTGTGGATCGAGATACGGCTTCAACTTTATCAATATTTTTCCTTCAAAACAAAGCAAAATAACATAAATTATTAGAATAATAAATAATATAATAATAGCAATAATAATTATTATAATTATTAGATAATAATAATAATAACCTCGACTGACGTATTCATTGCTTAGGTAATCCATCATTTTACATAGCAACATATCAGAATTTGCTAGGGCCAGTTCCGGAAAGTTGATGAAATCTCCAGTCGAATTCTGCAGCGGGAAATTGTTATGGCGGGTAATTTTTGAATTTTTATGGCGGGTAATTTTTGAATTTTTATGGCGGGAAATAATCGTAACTAATCTTATAGTGTGATGGTTAAAAAGTGATTCAACAACCTTAAAAAATCTCATTTCAAAACAAAATTAAAGTTAAATAATAAAATAAAACGTGTCAATCAATCAATCAATCAATCAATCAATCAATCAACCATCCAATTTAACCAATTAATCAACAAACCTGATAATCAGATATCAGCTGATCTTTAAGGACACCGTCAGGACTTTTAAAGAGGGCATCGTAGAAAAAATCAAAAATAATCTGATAATAATATTCTCTGCTATTTTTTGCACTTACGCTGGATTGGTCGATGGAATTAAAATGGCCAGTGTCGAAAAACCACAGGCACTCTTCCTTATTAAGTGTAGATACTATATCCGACAGGCCACTGATTGCTGTTGTTGTTATTGTTGATGTTTTCATGGCTGATGCTGATGTTGTTGGTTGTGGTGGAGATGACATTATGTTAATCAGCTGTGAGTAGATTTTGAAGCAGGGCAGTAGAGAAGTATTATTATTATTATTGTTGTTGTTGTTGTTTCCTAGCATTTCTTCCTAATAGTAGAATTAATATTAATGAATAAATGGTTTATAATTATAGATAATAAATATAAATGTAATTATATTAATTATATTATTAATAATTATATTATATATTAAAAATTATTTTAAAAAAAACAGACATTGTACATGTCCACAAATTTCCTGGCCATTATTCCTTCAGGGTGGTTCATGAGAAACTGAAAAATTTAGAAAAACATTTTTAAAATGTCAATCAACCAACTTATCAATCAATCAATTAATTAATCAATCAATCAATCAATTAATTAATCAATCAATCAATTAACCAATCAATCAATCAATTAATTACCCAGTCAATCAATTACCCAATCGACCAACCAATCAACAAACAAACAAATCAATCAATCTATTATCAGTGCCTGTTTAATGTTATTCCTAAGTTCTTTAGACAATTCAATTCTAGTTAGTGAACATGTTGTTGTTGTTGTTGTTGTTGTGGATGTTTTTGTTGTTGTTAATGACAATGTAATCGTTGTTGTTGTTGAGATTGATGTTATTTTCATTGAGGAAGAGCAACTACTACAACTGCTGCTGCTACCTTGAACGATTACATTAACATTATTATTGTTATCTGGTGAAGACGCTAATGAAATGTTATTTATTTTGTTGTTGTTGTTGTTGTTGTTGTTGTTTCTGTTGGGTCTCGTCTGGGCAGCGTCTGTAAATTTTTTAAAAAGTGATAACAACAACGACAATACAAACAAACGATATCAATAACAATAACTGCGAAATCATTTTATAAAATACAAAAACAACAGCAGTCCAGCAAATAACAACAACAACAACAATAATAATAATAATAATAATAACTTGAAGGCAGAGTCCTCTGATTGGTTGTCATCATAACTGCAGGGTATATAACGATGTAACCTTGCTCTCTTCTCAAATAAACTGCTTCTGGTATTTCTTTCAAATACCCCAAAATCTGTGTACATATTTAATAATAATAATGGAAACTCTTTTATTGATCTCAAAACTTTAAAAGCAAATGAATAAAATAGATGAAATAAAATAATATGGCATTAATGAAATTATAAAATTAATAAAAGTGTATGTAGACCCCACAGCTCATTGCGATAATAATAATAATAATAATAATCATTCAGTCAGCTAAGGATATAGCTAGAGTGCAATTAAATGCAGTTAGCCAGTTATGTATCTCAGATTTCTTCTTCTAGATACGCAAATACATACAAAGTACCTCTGATATGTGTATATTTAAATATCTTCCGAATCTTTTGCCGAAAGCCTCGTGAAAATGCTCCAGTTTGAGGCCATTTCTGAATGATTTCAGTAACTCAATGATCTCCAGCTTCTGAACGAACATTGGGTCGTTTATAAACGATCTGTTCTGAGATTTAAAAATTATATTTTTGTAAAAATTATTATACTATGCTATTATTATCCTCATTGAAACATGTCACAATTATTATATTATGTTATTATTATTATTATATTATGTTATTATTATTATTATATTATGTTATTATTATGATATTATATTACATACAATGTGCGGTTAACAATCGTTCAATCATTCACGACATAGACAGGCCATCAGGTAGTAATGTTTTTCATACCAATTTTAATAATAATAGATGAATAAAAAATATTAACTTGATGATAATTTAGAGAATCCTGCTGCACTGGCTTGTGGTTATAATTATTATTATAATTATAACTGTTATTACTATTATAATACCCTGAGGCATTTTTAGTGTTGTTGCTGCTACTTCTGTTGTTGTATTTGCTACTGCTACTACCAGTATTATTGTTGTTGTTGCTGCTGTAACAATACGTCGATACTGGCCGTCTCAAACTTGAGTTGGCATGTTGAGATGACTTAGATTTCGTCTTGGTCCTGTCAATCAAACTAACCACCTGGCTAGTTTTACTATTTACAATAGCTCGGCAGTAAACCATGTTGTTCATGGTTTTAAATTCCACATCAGATTTGGAGAAACTTTTTAGTAGCTCGAGTACGGATCTGAAGCCCAGAGACTGGTACGGAATGGCATTGTTTGTTAGGCTTCTGTATTCTTTCTCCAATTCTGAAATTGTAGAGAAATCTTTGTTGACTGTAAGAATGGAAAGAATGTCAATCTTAACTTTATTGTAATTATCATCGTTCGGCATTGCTTTCGCCATTTTATTTTTGTAATTTTTATATATTTTTTATTTCATAAAATTGTATTTTTCAATTAAAAGTCGGCAAAACACGATTTAGAACCAAAATTTATTTTTAAATATCCTGCCAAAAACAAACTTCGAAAATGTGACCATAGAAAAATAAAATAGTTATTTGATACCATAAAAATGAGACCATAGAAAAACAAATTAGTTATTTGCGTATAAATCAAAATTGTTATTTGAACAACTATCTTCATTATATTCAATGAATATTTTACATTCTGCTGGTGCTCATAGAAACTGGTTGCTGAAATCATACGTTGGCTTACTGCAGTGGCTTACAGGGTTTCATAGAACTCTTAAGATAGTGGTTTTTTGCACATATAATGCTTTAAATAATTCAATATATTCATATCACAATTATTTTAGTCAATATAAATAAAGAAATTGCTTTAGACTGGTAAAAAACTGTGGCTTACTGAAGCCGTAAGTTGGCTTATTTGGATTTTTTTTCCATGTATACAATACTTTGAGATCAATCAATCTATCAATTAATTAATCAACTAATCAATCAATCAATCAACCAACCAACCAACCATTCATTCAATCAACTAATCAACCAACCAATCGACCAATCAATGAACCAAATTGAATGAACCAAATAAACGAAAAAAAAACAAAAATAAATAAAAAAATATTTTCAAGGCTTGTTCAAACTGAACAAACACTTAACCGTACATATCTACAGACAATTTCGAGATTTTTTGTTAAGAAAGAAAAACACAATAGTTGCTTTTATTTGAAATCATTCAAAAATGAAAAGTGACGGTTAATTAAATTTTAAAAACGTCAATTTTTTTTAAACTCTTATTTTAAACAAACAAATATAACAAAATATCGACCGATAAAAAATAATTATTATCCATTATTATTATACACTCTCCTTAGTAGTTCTCTAAGAATGATTCACGTAACAATAACATTCAGTAAGAGCAGTTCACAGCATATCATAATGACTAAATCAACATACCAAATAGAAATTATTTATACATGCATATATACAAAGTAAATCAAGAAATATCCAAAAATTATATAACCAAATTAAAAAAAACTAGAAACTAGTCAACATTTAATAAATAAATAAACATTATTAAAAATATTGTTCAAAAAGGTAAAATTAAAGGCGACGACGAGAATGAAATGTAGTTTGTTTTGTTGGTGTGGTGCTGTGAAGCGAAAACAAACACATCACACAAAACTATTAAGAAGTCGCAAGAATAGTAGTCAGTCACCTACCTACAATTAAATTACTCTCAGGGCCTTAGCTTACCTATAATCATTAACTCAACTCACTTACCTACAAATTTGTCATTCTACGTTTTAGGAATTTTACTCGTTTCAGGTATTTCATTTAACACATTTTAGCATTTTTATATTACTTGAAACTTTTTAACTAATTTTAAGCCCTAACCTACCTACGATTGTTCAACTCATCTCAATCCCTAACTTACCTATGAATTAAATTAAGTTCGGTAAAGAAATTAGAAAGTTGAAGAGAAACATAACAACGACACCGAATAAATGGATGTTGTGCATGTGTGTGTTGTATTGATGTGTGTGTGTGTCTGTGTAAATGTGCGGGCATGTCCTCTCCAGAAACTTCTTCCTTCACTACCGACGAACCTCCATTGCACCGACCATTAACTGAATGATTGAACGATTGGTTGAATGAAATGAATTAACTATTAAATTAATCAATCAATGATTTAATGACTGAATAGAATGAATCAATGGATCAATTAATGGAGGAATAATTTGAAAGATAGTGATAAAATGAATGAATGAATGAATGAGAACAATAAAAAAAGATACGTATACTTCAAAAATTGTCGTTGTTGTTTTCTTCAAGTTGTCATCGGAACGATCATCATGAGACCACCATCTGAAACGTGCTGACGCCCACCACAGCCCACCTCTCATCATTCTGTAGAAAAGTTATTTTTATTAGCTCAGTAGTAAATCAAGGAACGAACGAATAAAAGATTAATTGAATGAATAAATAATTAAAAGAATGAATGAATGAATGAATGAATGAATGAATGAATGAATGAATGAATGAATGAATGAATGAATGAATGAATGAATGAATGAATGAATGAATGAATGAATGAATGAATGAATGAATGAATGAATGAATGAATGAATGAATGAATGAATGAATGAATGAATGAATAGAATGAATTAACGTCAATTTTTAGAAGAATGGAGAATAATTTGAAAGTTTGAGTGAAAAAATGAATGAATGAGAAAAATAAAAAAACGAAACTAAACCTTACTTCAAAAATCGTCGTTACTGTAATCCATTGCACCGACCACTACCATCATTTGGTCGGCACACAAGATGTCATCCGAACTTCTGAGTGTCAGTCGAACAGCCAACTAGCTGATTCTTCCTACACCACCATCATTATACGTAAATCATCATGAGACAACCATCTGAAACGTGCTGACTCCCCCTGCTGCCCACCTCTCATCATTCTGTAGACAATTTTTTTATTAGCGTAGTAGTAATGAATGTTAGAATCTTAGGAGCAAAAAATTATAAAATGGAAAAATGGCAAATAAATAATATCTAAAAATAATAAAGAGATTAAAATGTCAAAAAAAACTTACCGTCGTCCATTCGACAAAGGCAGAATGTTGAATGCTTTCCGGTTCCTACAATGTCCTCCAAAACCGGTGCCAGTCCTCCTCGAGATTGTTGTTGAAACACAGCTCGTGGAATGGAGAAAGAGAAAATTCTCATCAGAAAGCTTAGCGGTGCCTGCATCTTAAATTGCTTAATAAAAATAATCTTATCTACCTATTCAATTACCTTAACTAATCTATATTAAATTGTTAATGGTACGATAGTCGAAAGTCCCCCTTCATTCTCCCTCCTTGCACAGAGGTTTGCCGACAGCCAGGGCACCGGATAGTAAACCATTGCCGTGCGGATAGTAGACTATTGCCTTGCGGATAGTAAACCATTTGCCGTCCGGAAGCCGTGCGGGTAGTAGACTATGGCCATGCCGCATAATAAATCATTACCGTGGTGATAGTAAACCATTGCCGTCCGGATAGTAAACCATTGCCGGTTCACCACTGGCCACCGAGGCTTATCTCTGACAACGGACTTTGAAATTCAGAGTCTATTGGCTATCGTACCCTCAACTTACTTATTCATTACAATTAAGCCCTAGCTTACCTAAAACTACAAAACTCAAGAGCCCAATTCATTGGCCAATCGGCACCCACCCCACCACCTACGTAATGCCTTGGGCTCCAACTTAGTAATAATAATATAAAACTTAAACCCTAAATCTATTAATGAGTATGTCACAACGTAGCCTTAACTTACCTATTCATTACATTATGGCCTTAGCTTACCTAAAATTACAAAACTCAAGAGCCCAATTCATTGGCCTTTCGGCACCCACCCCACCACCTACGTAATGCCTTGGGCTCCACCTAATAATAATAATAATGTAAAACTTAATAATTAACCTACCTATCGATACACTTACAGCGATTTAATTTACATTACAAGATTGTTCCTAGAATTACATTATTGCCCTTAACTACCTATGAAATTAAATTACTCTCAACCTGAGTAATAATAAATTAGAATGTGTAATGAAAATAAAATTACGCTCAAATACTAACATATGTGTTTATCTATGTATTTGTTTGTGTGTGTAATACGCTGATGCGTGTAATGTGGGTGCAAGAAAAAATAGAAGCAATAAACTTACGCTGCCTACCTATTCAACTACATTAGTGTTGGATGCTTCCTATCTATCCTACCTACATTTAAAATCATGCCTATCTAACCTACCTATATAGCTACTTAATGTAATTGTGTGTGTGTGCGTGTGCGTGTGAGCATTCTTACTTAATGTTAAATTACAGAGAAAAACAGAGAAAAAAGAATAAAACGTATCCCAGCCAGGCGTGTATTCTTTGCCACTGAATGAACGTAGCCTGACATCTTCCATGATTAACTCCTCTGGAAGTTTCAACCTGAATGAAATGATAAAACAAAAAAAATCTTTTATTTAATTAATTTAAATGAAAATAGAGAAACGAGCCGCGGTGAAACCAGCCAGCCGAAAAAGTTAGCCATCTGGCAAAAAAAGGAAACGCAAGGAAATCGTAAAACTTACCACAGCCGGGCGTGCATTCTTTGCCACTGAATGAACGAACGTAGCGTGACATCGCAACCATTCTGATCTTCCACGATGAACTCCTCTGGAAGTTTCAACCTGAATGAAATGATAAAACACAAAAAATCTTTTATTTAATTAATTTAAATGAAAATAGAGAAACGAGCCGCGGTGAAACCAGCCAGCCGAAAAAGTTAGCCATCTGGCAAAAAAAGGAAACGCAAGGAAATCGTAAAACTTACCACATCCGGGCGTACATTCTTTGCCACTGAATGAACGAACGTAGCGTGACATCGCAACCATTCTGATCTTCCACGATGAACTC